CCCCCCCCCCCCGGGGGTGCTTGTACTGGGACCCCCCGACTCTCTCAGGCAGCGCTGCCCCCCCGTGAGGGGACGCTGGGACTCCCCCGCTCCCCTCAGGCGATGCTGGGCCCCTCTTCCTGTCACGGGGCGCGCCGACCTGCAGCAGCGGCAGCAGCAGGCGGTTGAGGCGCCGCCGCTCCAGCAGGCCGAGCTGCGCGCCCGCCCGGCCCAGCTCGCTGAGCAGCACCAGCAGCGCCATCTTGTAGGGGGTGACCCAGTCCTTGATGCCGAAGACGTTGGCGTGCACCACGCCGTTGGTCATCATAGGGTTGAAGTAAAGGCTCTCGTGCACGCTGGCCATGACCGAACCCTCTCGCCGCCCGCACAGCCTCGCCCGTCACCCGGGAAACCGGCCTCCCCGAAGCAGCCAATCGCGGCCGGCGGCGGCGAGGGCAGCCAACCGCGGAGTGAGCCGGCCGCCGCGCTGTGCGCCGCTCTTTGGGCGCCGGGCGGAAACGCGCGCACGGCGGAAGGGGGCCGGAGGGTGGAAGGGTCCTCCAGCCCCCGTAGCGTTGGGAAATCAACTCCGCTCTGAACCAGCCTTTAATTTGCACGCGAGACAGTAAGTGCAGCCGCAAAGGCTGTCCCCGGAACTCCCCCTCCTGATGCTGAGTTAGCAGCATCTGAAACGTCCCCGAGAGTGAAGTGCTAGATTCAAACAAGAAACTGTCTAGACTAGAGAACCCCCTGGGAAGTGGCTCAAGAGGATCTGTCCATTCGTTCATGTAGGTAACCACTGTGCGTGTGCCTCTCTTATTGACTACAAGAGAACTGTAGGGATTTAGTGGTTAAACAAAATAGCTCAATCTTGTTTCAGTCAGCAGGCATTAAATGGGACTTTGGTTTCTACGGTTCCCGATTCATGCTTTAAACAGCAGCCAGGGTACAGGTCTTGCAATGTTCTTTGCCACCGTGAACTGCTCAGGGGACGAAAAAGGCAGCTGGCAGACCCTCCAGGTTAAGTTGTACAATTTGCAGTGCAGGCCCGGTGGCACAATGACAGCACAGCGCCTGGGGGATCAGTGGCAGTAACACCCGCGTTCCTTGAAAAGTTCCCAGATTCGGTTCGGTAGGAGGATCGTTAGTTTCCCTGGTGTGGACCAGGTACTAAAGGTTGGCATGACATGAATGCTGACCTGTTGCCAACTAAGAGAAAGGAAACACTGTATTACGATCATGTCGTCATTGGGATGTCTTACTTGTAAGTTGCTCATCAAGGCCCTCAGGACTATCATTAATGGTAAATGGTTCTTTTCTGAATATCAAGCTATTGTCCTAGTACCTCATTATTTTGTCTGTCAACACACCTCTGTTAAGAATCCTTTTCAGATATGCTCTATACACGTTCAATTAACCTTTGCACACCAGCTGTCATATTCCCCCGCCTGTGTTTCTTTATCATTTGTCTTTTAGATGAGTTGTAAAGCCACTTTCATTGTCATTACGTTTGATTTTTGCAAGAGTAGTTGTTAATCTTAGTGCTGGCCAGATTCCAATTGGGGTAATTATTCTGCTGCAGTTCCCTCCTGCAGCTTCAATTGGAGATCACAGACCTTTTCAACTGGCCACTTAAAATCCTGAGGAATATAAAAGCACTGGCCACTCTTGAAAACTTGGTTCCTAGCCAATGAGACAAATTGAGCTCTGATGTAAATTTGTATAATGTAAGGGGCTTCCTGGGTTGCAGCCACACCCATTTACACTATTACTGAATTTCCCAGCTACAAAAATATGCCTGGTTTAAAAATATGAATTGCTTAGGGTGCAGTCTTGCTCCGTTAATAAATTTGGCAAAATACCCATCAGCTATAGTGAGAGCAGGATTGAGCCTTTAACTTTCACAATGATGGTAGAAGTTTGAAGATGTATTTATAAAATGCTGTATCGGTGTGCACTGTATTATTACAGTTGATTTGGCGTTAAGAGAAATAGTGTTCTGAGCAATGTCATGTACTATCCTTTGTCAAACAGCAGAATTAACCTTGGAAGGCAAAGCAATACCATACAGCCTGTGTTCTGTGAAACAGCCTCTTTTTAATTCATCTGTGCAAAAAGCAATTTGAGTGTTGAGTGTAGGGAGAAAAGTAATATTTTCCTTGCTCATTTTCATTCTTTGGTGCTTGGGTTTTTTTTTTTCTGCCTGGCAACCTAAGAACATTGACATCATTTTATTAGGCTTGTGAACAAACAAAAATAGCAAAAGAGCCTTACCTGCCAGACTAGGGAGTGCAACTCATTAATCTTATTAGCTGTAATAGTGCAGGAGAGCATGGAGTCCTGCCTTTTTCCCAGCTTACTCGCATACAGCTGTACACCTGCTGACACCTGTTTGCCATCTCATAATGCTGGGACATAAAATGTATAACCCGTCCCTCGCAGAAAGACCTCAGAGGCAAATATGCACTTTTCAGGATTCGAGGACAGGTGACCGGCCTCTTCTGGCACTGCAACGTTGCCGAAGACTGAATAGGTAGGCTGCTACAGCTCAATGCCTTGTGAATTCTGCTGGAGGGTATGAGAATATTGTATCAGCAATGCGCCTCCCTCTGCTTTCTCTAACAACATCATCATCTAGACTCTTGTCATCCGTACCCGCTTTGACCGTGGCGGCAGCTGTCAGCAGAGGATGCTGTTGATGCTGCTCCCACCGAGAGCAGGAGCAGGTGCCTCTGGCAGCGCTGTGCCCGCACTAGCGGTGTTGCCAGTGTGGCTGCATAGGCAGCTGGCAGGATGTGTCCCCAGTGCAGCATGGAGCAGATCAGGGATAAGCCCCAGTCTACACAAAGCCTTAAAGAGCACTGTGAGGACTTGGCCGTCACATTAAGCTAAGCCGGGGGAGGTTCCTCCACACCCTTGACCCCAGCAAGAACAGCCAGAGGATAAGTAACATGCCCGAGGCCACGCAGCCAGTGCGTGTCACACCAGCACTGGGACGGGCAAAGCTCAATTGGAATCCTACACTCTGGAGCTGCTGACGTCACAGCCCCGCTGCCTAGTCACCGCTGACGTCACGCCCGGCAGCCCCTTTCCCAACTGGCCGCCCGCCTGTCCCGCGGCTCAGCAGCTGCTTCCCCCCCCCCCGCTACTACAGAATGGATCCTCCCTCCGGGGCGAATGGGACCGTCCTTCTCCCCCATTGGCTCAGCCGGCGGAATTCTCCCCATTGGCTCACCGGGGCGGAAGCGGTCGTCGCCATTGGTCGAAGGGCGGAGAGGTGGCAGGTCCCGCCCTCCGTGAGGCGGCCCGTCGGAGCAGCGGGCAGGGCGGGGGGCCTAGGCGCGGGGGCGCCGCCGGGTGTGGAGGCGACGGTGGCGGCAATGAAGGTGACTCGCGGCGGGGCGGC